AGGATGACAGGGAGGCATGAACCTGGAGCACAGTCCCCTTAAAAGCCCAGAGTCACCATTTAAATAGGACAAGAAGAACTTGACTCAAGCCAGGCTCACTCTCTGCTCTGACTCTGCCTTCCCAAGAGGCAGACTCCTATCCCACAGCCCCTGCAGCAGCAGATCCTACAGCCCGTCGGAGCCAGATCACCTACGCCTGGAGTCAGGAAGCTGGGGTCAGAGGTCACTTACGTCAAACTCAGGGAGGGTGATGGTGAATCTGAGCAGGGCAGTGCTGCTCTTAACGGCCCTGGCTCTCTCTCGCCGCACCGTGGACAAGATCCAGTAGTTAATGTGCTGTCGGGAAAGGAGGCATTGCACTGACTGCCCTGACCAAGGATGCCCACTTGGGGCCCGGCTAGGAGGACAGACTGGAAAATGGATCTAAGAGTGAAGGTAAAATTGCCCCCACCCCTCTCATCGGGCTCACCTCCAAGATGTACTGGAGACTGTCGGTGTTTGGGGACTCTGCCAGCAGGTTCCCCAGCAAGGCGTCCAGGAGGTCTGGCAAGACCCTAGGCAGATCCTGAAAGCAAGGGAGAGCCATGGGTCAGAGTTAGGGAAACTGGGGCTAAACTTGCCACAGGATGGGAAGACGGGTCTCTGGGAAGCACTGGTGAGACCCCCAAACACATATCCTGGCCTCTCTCCTTCACATCCCACTGCAGGCAATTAGCAAGGACTCATGGCAGGATGAAAGCTGGCTCTTCAATCCATGACTTTAGCATGATCTACCTGCACTTGGGTGGTGTCCTTCTCCATGCCCAGGGTGAAGACGGCGTGCAGGACAGCTCGGAGGAGGTGGGTCTCCAGCTCTGGCTCCAGGGCAGGTGTCATGGTGCTGTCAAGAGAGAGGAGCTGGTATTAGACTGTGCAGTACGGGGATGGGACTGGCACCAACACGCAGGTGAAACTGCAGGGAAATAGGCACAGGCTGGCAAGAAGGGAAACTGAGGCACCGAGCCAGGGAATGATAAGGCCAAGGTTTCTCAGACAGACAGTGGCAGGACAGGAATAGCACCTGTTCCCTGGACCCTGCTGCCCCTCCTGTATCTGATCCTGGGAGTGAGCCTCTCCCCAAAGCCGTTGCAATGTTACTGGAGTGAAAAAAACAGCCCAGCCAGGAGAGAGTGACCCTTCCCCGCACCTCTGCCAGAGGAGCCACCCTTGGGCGGTGACCGGGGAGTGGGAGGGGCAGTGACTCCCAGCCCTGGGCCTGAGCAGCACTGGGGTTAGGGGAACCGGTCCGGAGGGTCTCGGTACCTGAGGTTGCCCACAGCAATCCCTGCCCTCTGCTGCCCCTCCAGCACCAACAATCCCCCATCCATTGGCCTGGGGAGACCCCTGCCCCTCCCATATCTCTGTCCTCCCTCCAGCAGCTGGGCACAGTGTCTCGCTCACCACAATCCTCTCCGCCACAGCCGCCTTGCAGCAGTGCGGCTCCACTGTGTCCTGCCCTCTCTGCTGTGCAGCGAGACGCGGGGTGGATGGCGTGCAGGAACACAAGCTGCTGGGCCTCCTCCTGCACCCACCAGGAGTGGGGTTAGGGGAGAGATAGCCAGTTAGCCAGGGACCTCCCTGCCCCCACACAGCAGCTGCAGGACTCAGGCCTGAATGGGGGATAGTGGGGACCCGCCCATTGTCCAAATCACCCACCACTCCACCACAAGCAGGGTCAGGAACTGGGACAGTGCCTGTGGGGGGAGGAGACCCGGCTGGTGTGTGACAGACACCCCCACCTCTGGGGTTCCAGATCATGGAGGAGAAAGGTCCCCATTAGGGCTGGTGGATCATCAGGGACAAGACCCTCTGCAGGGGATCAGGTGCTGGGAAGGGGCAGGACAGTCTCGGTTCCAGCACAGCCGGGGTACGTTTGTACCTTTTCTCCGCCTTGGAGCTGCTCTCGGCTGTTATTGAGAGCAGCCTCCTCTGTGGCCACGTCCACCCATTCCTCCTCCTCGTCCCCTGAGTCCCTGGCAGTCCCTGCACCAGGGAGAGAAGGCGACAGGGTGACGCCTGCTGCCACTCGGGGGAAGGACGGGGGCACGGTGGGGCATTGTGCCCCCTTCCCACGACCGGGACCCAGGGCAGATCGGGCCCCACACTCCCCCCTCTCAGTGATGCCTTCAGCCCCCAACTCCTTCAGGAGCCCATAGCAAAGAGACCCCTCCAGACTGTCCTGGACTCCCTAAGAGGTGCCTCCCCCCAACTGGAGCACCAAGGACCAAAGTGGCAGCATCTAGTGTCAGTGGGCTTCATGTGGCTCAGGCAAGACCCCTGGGCTGGGGACCCGCCCCCATAGCACTGATCGAGGGCCTGGGCCCAGGGTGTTCACAGCCCCGCCCTCACCTCTCCCTGAGCCCAGCCTGACTCCTCACCTGGAACAAAGCAGAGGCGCCCATCAGCCTCGCTGCTGCCCGAGTCCCAGGCACTGCTGCTGTCCCATGGGGAGCGGGCCGAGCTGCTGGTGGTGGGACAGGGATCCTCCACCTCCTGCCCTGGGGAGACTGGAAGGTCCTCACTGACCGGGCAGGGCGATGCCTCCTGCTGGGAATCAGGGCTGAGCTCCTGGGGCCGGTGCTTCCCACACAACATGTCCCAGAGTCACCCTGCCCGGCTCCCCTCCTGCGCTGGGTCCTGCCTGCCCAGCCGCATCCTGGCCCAGCTCCATTTCGACCTGGCCTCTCCCACCTCGGCGCCTGCCCTGGGAGCGGGTTTTCTCCGCCAGAAGGCTGGGCACTTCCACCTCCTGGCCTGGCCGGGAGCTCCTTCCCCGCCAGCGGGGACGGAGGAGCCGCTCTGCTCCTGGGGAAGATGGCAGCTGCTTCCCTCAGGCTCTGGGGCCACCTGCAGAGCCTTCTTCCTGAACATCCTCAGGAGCCTGGCCATCCTGGAACGGAGCGGGGAGCGGGCGTGAGTCTGGGGTCAAGGCAGCCTCTCACTACCCTGTTGCCCCGAAAATAAGACATCCTCCGAAAATAAGGCCTACTTACAGTTTTGCCTCTCGTTGTAATATAAGGCATCCCCCTGATAATAAGACCTCCCCGATAATAAGGCATCCACCGATAATAAGGCATTTTTCATTTCTGAAAAATAAGACATCCCCTGAAAATAAGACCTAGCGCATCTTTGGGAGCAAAAATTAATATAAGACACTGTCTTATTTTCGGGGAAACAGGGTAACCAGCCTGTTTGGTCCCTCCCCATCCCTGCCCCAGCCAGAGCAGCTCTTCCTCCCCCCACAGGGGTGCACATAATGCAATCTACACGCACTGGCAGGAGTTCATTGCATGATCTGCTCCCAGCGTTCCCCCTCGTCACCGCCCTAGGGCTGTAATGCTCAGGGAGTCTCCTTTTCGAACACTGGATTCAGTCACTTTGGACAAGCAGCTCCCTCCTGCCGTCCCAGGCCACACTCCCCGCCAGGCTAGAGAAGGAACAGAACCCA